TTCTATCCACCTTTGTCTGCACAACCGCACTCATGTCCAGCCGCTCAGTCGAGCCCCCTTCCAAGCCACAGCGTAGCGCCTACAGCGAAAGTGGTTGATGAACAACACGCAGACATTATAACGATAGATGCAGGCGAAAAAAGACCTTTGATGGCATTATACACAAGACCAGACGAAAGCTCGCCTACGAAGCCCAAGAGAAGCAGTCCACGAGTCGGAATCCAGAGGCGCGGCCCGCCAACGAAATACCACTTCACTCGTGAAGACGATATATACATGAGCAAGCGGAGGACAATAGATGGTGCCTCATGGGCGGTAATCTGGGGAGGCAGAGAGAAATGGAAGCGGTGGCCGATCAGCGCACTTCGCAATCGTTGGACTTTGATAAAGAATCAAGATCTACACTTGCAAGGCGCTTCTGTAGCTCCCACAATCGATTCTGTCAACGGAGGCGATCATGTCTCCACGGAAGAAGTTCCCGCCGTCTCGAAGCCACCGCACCACCTACCTACGCCAATTTCCTCCGAGCACGAAGATTGCCATCATGATCTCTTAGTTTCGATGGACGAAAACAAGCAGGACAGGTTGTCGTCAATTTCGCACTACGACGACGACGAGCTGGATCTGTTATCCCTGGCTGGATCCGATCCAGACGAAGACCATCTTCCTCCCGGTGGTGACGACACAACCGCAGTTGCAGTTGCATCGCAAGATGTAATACTCCCATCCATCGAGACAAGAGATCTTGTCGATGAAGAAGACACCATGCTAGAAGAGGACTTGCCTTCGACTCCGCAGACGCAGGATTTCGCTATGACACCCACACGAGCATCTGTAGACCTGCTAACACAAGACACCGTCATGACACCTACCCGTGCGTCTTCAGCCACAGTAAAGACCGAACCATTATCTTCGCCGACAACGCTTGTCAAACGAAAACGATCTCCACTTTTCGCTGAGATGATACCTGACTTTCAAGACAACAAAGATTGTGCACAAGAGGACTCGAGCAATGTAACAGTCGCATCACAGGAACCCTTCGAACCCGTAAGCACATCTCTCCACCACCCACCAAACCAACAAAGCACGCACACCGCACTCGTCAGCAGTAGAGATGCTTCCCTTGACCTCATCGGCGATGATGAACTCCTTCTCCCTCCTGCCGACCCAACAACCCCATCTCTCAAACGCAAACACGACGCAATCATAACGCCAATGCTCTTCCGAACGCCCATACCCCGCGATGTGGACGGCAATAGCGAAACGGGCACTACCAAGTCCACGTCCAAAGCTCACCGGAAATCCTTTCTCAAACAGGTCAAGAGGGAGTGGACAAGGAAGGGGACGCCTGCGAAGGAGAATACTACAGGGAAAAGCGCAGGGAGGAGGAGTCTAGGCGGTGCGCTGGGGAATCTGGATGCGAGGAAACGGAAGTGGATGGATGATGGGGATGATGGGAGTGAGGATGAACTTACTATACGTTAGCGAAGACTATTTATGAATATAGTTGAATGTCGTTCAATTGTGATCATGATGGCACTATCTTAGTTTGTGTTCATCTTTATACAAATACACAACCTACTTTACATACTCCTCACGGAGTCCTGTTTCATTCCTCCCAATAAATAGGGAAGTTCAAACTAATTTCCATTCTACACACCCTCATTGACATTCTGTCCGCATATCCCGTCCGCTTTCCTTTCCTCGCCCCTGCCCGCTTGCCTTGTTCTTCTTCCCTTGTTTCTTAGCCTTCTCCTCAAACCAGGGAAGACATTTGAAGTCTTGCTACCTTTCCGTTATTGAGATCTCAAAATATAGTTTCGGTGTATCTTGAGGTGCGCAGGACAGTATCCCGCGCAGCTTACCATTCCCGCATGTAATCTAAAGCTGGATTCCCTTCACGACCCAGACCAGAAGTGATCAGCTGTGCCAGATACATCCGACTCAGAGAGGTGTTTCCAGTTCGTTCCTCTTCGAACCTAATAATCGCTCGCGCAAGGTCCTCTCTGCCAAATGGTTGTTGATATACTTCCTGGCCTACAAAGTCTGCTAATGGCTTCAGACCTTTCGTCGGCTGGCCGACAATCTTCTGAAAAATACATAGCCAGTGATTTCGGTGGCGATAGTGACAGGGCACATAATTTGTGATAAAATTGTAGGCTGCGTCGATCCGTTTCTGCTCATCGTCTTCCAAAAGCTGGGTGACTTCGTTCTCCGATTTTAAGGATGCCAGGATATAGCAAGCCGGTACTCCGATGACGATCGGATAGCCGAAGGAAATCGCCATGACAACCTTGACCGCCGCCCAGGCATCTAACTGTAACAAGAAGTTTAAGCCGACGAAGAGTCCCAGAAACGAGCCTTTCAAGGAGGTCAACAAGTAGTGTTGGTAAAGCCAACTCATCCGGTAGTCGTTGGTGTGAGGAAATACTCTACCCTGCTTTGGCTTCATCCATGTCATGTCTCGATAATTCCTTGTCTGGAGATAGCGGCATTCATTTTCGAGTCGATCGAGCCGTTGCTTGCACGCCCTGATGTCTTGTATGATGGACATGGCGTATACAGTGTGGAAGTCGACCACAGTAATGTAGATAATTGCTCTCGAAAGGATGCCAGACGGCATACACATCAGAAGGCTCAACAAGCACCCGAAAAGGTTCAATAAGAACCCACACACTGTGCGTGGTCGTGTACTATCGCGGACAATCTTTTCTTCGAGATCATCTGAAACAAAGTTCACATTTATCCTGCGAGTCAACTCGAGAATGAAGTGTTGACAATTCGAATTTAGCAGTGAATATTCCCTAAAGTTATCCAGAAGACAATTTTGGGCGCCAGTGTTTTTTTCGCGGAACAATTTGTCTTGTACCTCCACTAGAAAATGGTTACTTCATTTCTGATAAGTGGCTGAGTGTAAATCGCATACGCTTTGTTTTGATAGTGTTCGGGGATACTGCCGTCGTGCCGAGCCTTTCGTCCGTATGACGCCACTTGTCCTTGTCGTTAAGGCGTTCGACCTCGTCACTCGACTTTCTTGAGCGAAATTTGGCAACGCTAGCAAAGGGAAGCGAGCCTTGACGTTCGAGGTCGAAGTAGTAGTCCCCGACAATCAACGTGTAATGTGACAGCCAGCTAGTTGGAACAATATTTTCGTAGAGGAAGACCCAACTGCGAAAAAACGGCGGGCAGGAAGCAGAGTATGATAGAGTGTAGCGCCTAAGAAACACGTCGTGCGTTTGTGCATGGCTCTCGTCGAGATCTGAGTCCTCTGGGTTGGCCATGGGTGTTGTGCCTGTCACTGCCTGAGCCCTTCCCTTCACGTTCCTCACCCTATGTCAGATGTCGATGGGTATCTGTAAAAGAACGGATAGCGCGAAGTCAGTTTATTAGTGACGTTGGCCACGTTAGTCAGCCTAAGGTTTGCGGGTTGGAGCATTTTCGCAAGGGTGGTTCAACTGGTGGAGGCGGGGCAGCCAATGGGGGCGGTGCAGATTGGACAGAGACGGCCATGAAAGAATGCTCGAATCTCCGAGTAATTGATCACTTTTTGTACCTCTTATACCAACATCGCTACTGAACCTCACCTGATATACTCTAATAAGATCCTGCTATAAGAACAGACTCTTAGTAGATTTTATAGGGTGACTTACTGCATTGGTTTGTTGCGATCAGAGAAAACGAGCTCTGAAGCATTGTGGCGGTGGCGGTGCGTGCATCGCCTCACACCGTGCTCAGCAGGCAGATGCATCCAGGGTATGTTCTTGAGTTGTATATCGTTTTTGTTCTCTTCCGATCGTATTTAATTGCTGGACTTTCATACTTTGTCCATTCGCAGTTTGCTGTATACAGATCACGGCAATATCATGAGTCGCATTTTCACGTTCTTCGAATTTCTCCTGCCTTTCCAAGCAGCAGCCTGGAAGGTTTCGTCTGCGCCAGTCAAACACATGCTTGATGCTCGGGATAAGGAAGAAAAAGATCGCTTTACCTCATTATGGAGGGACAACGCTATCGTGCAGCTAAACACCATCTCAATCACCGTATGTATCCCCTGAGCTTAGTCGCATATTGTACTGAGATTCTACCTCTAGAGTGCTCTTTTTGCCGGAGTAATCGCAGCGTCATTTACTTGGCCAGTGTTTACTCGACTGTCGTACTATGCGCAATCCAACATTCAAGCAGTCTGGTATAGTGGGTTGGCTTTGGCATTAGCCTCGATTGCGACCTCTACACAGTTAGCCGTTGCCTTGTCACGGCTAGGTAGCCACCCTGACGGTCTTAGCAACATTCGGGAAGTTCTGGGAACGCAAGGCGAGGACGACGTTTGGAGGCCAAGCAGACTTCAGCTTATCATCTGGCAAGCGCCAATATCGCTGTTGAATGCAAGTGTGGTATTTTATATAGTTGGGCTCGTTTTCGTTGTGGCAAGCTCAGTGTCTCCAAGTTCGGTCAAACACGATATTAAGGTATGGAGAGATGTCTCATTCCCCGAGAAAGTTTTATCACTAAGTGTGCAACTAGATTGTTGTGCTATTCATCTTGACTCTAGTATATGCTACAGGACTATATTCTCTCTCAGCTTACGGCCTCTATCATCGAGTCAAAGAGAGGAACGCAGTACAGCAACAACTATCTGCAACTCAGCAAAATTCATCGGGCCCAGTAAATGGGACTGTCTAGGAGAAGAGCAGATTATGTGGCAGAGTGAAGGTGTCGTGCGCAGCAGATTGATATATTAGGCTGTAGGTCAACAAACTCTTGAGAAGATGTATAAGCTTTCGATGTACCTACCACAAGTAAAAGTGAGGCAGTCGCGTGACGCTTACACCAAATTAACGTATCGCACACTAGGCAGAGCCTATTTATAAAAGAGATTAGAAGAGGGTATAATTTATAAAATAAGGCTACTATTCTAAGAATGTCTATCTCTCTCTAGCCTGTTGTGGAGATTGTTATGTTGGGAAGTGGCTGTGGCGTCCCGTTACATAAGGGGTCCCGCTTCATAGGACGGATGTTACAGTTGGATCCTTCGAGTGCCGCTCAACCCACTGTTCCGTAAAGTTCTTCGCTACCCCCTCTGTCGCAGCACTAACTCTGCGCTGTTCCTTTTTCTTCTCCACCTCACCACGCCTTGGTTCCCTACTATTCTGAACAGCGCCAACACCAACATTCTTGAGTTTCCGTTCCAACTCCATCATCCTGGTAATCAATTCGTCCTGTGAGTACCCAGCTTTGATCTTTTCCTTATCTCCGTCTTCTTTTTCTTCTTTGTCTTTCGTGTCCATCCGATTTGACGAGGAAATCCTCTCATCGTCCACCGCCCGCCCGAACATTCCTCTCAGTACACTCACGCTACGATACTTGAACCTAAACACCGCATACGGTTTGTCCAGTCCATCTAGATACTGCGGTCTGCCCACAGCATGACCATAGTGCGTTGCTCTACCTGGTCGGACGGCATGTTCGATACCCTTTGCTATAGAGGTGCGTTGAGAGATTGTCAGGCGGGCGAGTTCAGGGGCGATGTAAGTGCTGCCTGAGGAGACTGGGTTGGCAGGGATGGAAGTCGATGGGGGAGGTGGGAACTGCCAATGTGGTTGTGGAGCTGAGATTGGAATTGGTGAGAAAAGGGACGGGTGGTTTGGCCGGTATTGGGCTAGAGTTTTATTACTCATACGCTGGGGCTGATTTGATGGTGGCGGTGCCTGTGCTGCGACGGTGGTAAAGGGCGCAGGCGTGGCCTGTTGTGTAGCAGGCTTTGCAGTGTTGCGCGGAATGCCCCGTGACTGATTCTTCCAAGCTGCTTCTGGAGCTGATGGATTCTCAAAGGTGGATTTTAGAGCGGATTTCAGATCGGCTAGGTCGTTCTTGCCGTGTTTCTTCTCGATTGGAGGAATTGCTGTTGTACCCCAACCGGTCTCTTTCGTGTTCCAGCCATCAGCAACTTTGATAGTCTCGTCATCATCATCCTTCGCCCAACCATTGGAAGTGTCATCATCGGTTGACAACCAGCCTTTCTTATCATTGTCCCTAGAACCCTTGCCATGCCAACCTGTATCACTCTTCTTGCTCCAACCAGCATCCTTCTTGGTTGCCTTACCCCACAACATATTTACGGCGCCATCGTTCTTATCGTTACTCCAGGAAGATGGAGAAGACGACCGATATCCTCCTCGTATCTTGCCCTTCGTGCTCTGCACGAAATCCTTCAGCGAAGATGCGTATGGTGCAGGTGCTAAAGTACTGGCGGCAATACTAGGCTTGCGCGTTGCATCATGTACCTGAGAAGCCCATTCTGGTAGCTGCATGACCGGGACTGGCGGATCTGCATATGTGCTAGGCGGCTTTGATTGTGCATGATGCGAAGTAGCAGGAATGGGTGCATTCATGACCACCGGCGCCAACCTTGCATCCACTGAAGGCACAGGCGCTGGCCTCACATGTACTGTTTCCTCAGTCGGTGTACGATGGGAACGTCGTGATGATTTCCGTTGCTTTTCGCGCTGTGTTGACTTGGAACGTCGAGAGAAGCTCTTGGATCTCCGCCGTGGCGTGTGTATCCGGCTTCGAGAAAGCGACGGCTGGATAGTGGCATCTGAGCTACTCAACGAGACCACGGAGTCTGAAGGCCTTTTGATATGATCCCAACCTCCAATCTGTTCTTCATCTTCTGTAGCAGTCTCGTACTTTCGCCGCCGATGACTCGTCCGCGATTTGGAACGTGCTCTCCGCTGCGAATCGTGCTCCGAGCTTCGCAGCTCTTGTGAGTGGGGAGAAGTAGAAGAGTGGCGTACTGAGCTATGTTGACCGGGCTGGCTTGGTGCCCAAGCTTTACACTTTTCGCTGGAAGTTTCACACTCAGCTACTCTGTCAGCCGGCCAAGCATCTCCAGTGTCCCAGGAATCGGACGCGGCTTTGTCGCGCAAGGTCCACCTGTCGGCATTGGAAGACGTAGTCTCGTCTACCGGCGTCGCGAACCAGGTCACGCGAGTGCCTGCTCTACTCCGTGCTTTTCGCTCGCTCCAATCAGCCTGAGACTGATCCCACTGCGACCCGTGGGCGCTTTCGTGGTTGCGCGAGGACGAAGCTGCAGGCTCAGATGGGCGACGTGATGACGGACCGATATCCAAAGGAGATTCAGGCCATCCGCCAGGTGGTTGACTTGTAGTCTCTGCATCAACATTTTGTATCTTGTATCTGGTCTGATGTTCTGACTGTATATCCATCTGTCGCGATTCTTCCACCCCCTGCTTTACTGCTGCAGCGAGAAGATTGTTCAGCCACATTGGATCCATAGGCGGGGGCTGTGTAGCCCTGACACCTGAAGATTGATTGTTGTATATCTCTCCGTCGCGCGGGATGGGACCGCTGCCATATTGAACACCAGACAAGGAAAGATCGTTCGTGGTCCTTGCCCGGGGACTAACAGCCTCAGAATATATAGAGCGTGGTCCAGAACGACGAGTGATAGGTGCTGGAGGGAAGATTTCATGAGGGCTATGCGCGGTGCGACGGCTTCTCGATGTTGAGCCTTCCTGGCTGCGGGCGGTTTCCACGTAAGGTGGGTGGTAAGACGAAGTTGGAGGTGGTGGGCCGCGGCCATTGTCAAAGGGAGCGAAGAAGGAGCCCCGATCATCGTACATGGACCTTTCATTGGATGGAGAAGAGGTGTCATCCAAGTCATAGAGATGTTTAGGGTAATCTCCTGCTCCGTCAAAGTTCATCGTCGAGGCAGACTTGGCACTTCGTGTTCCAGCGCACCGTAGGACGACGACTTCGATACATCCTATGTTTTGGAGGACGTCTGGTGAACACAGATCTGGCGCATCATCTGCTGACGCTGTGACTAGTCAGCAGGTTGCGATTTTGTGGAGTCTTCGCAAAACTTACCGATGTTGAGCTTGTCAAAGGCCCACTCGCGTGCAACCATCGAGCCATCATCCTGCCTCTCTTCCTTCTGACGTACGCGAAAATCGACAAGAGAGCGGCTATCTAAAGGCTTCCGAAGCTTCAAGTCTTGCCTGTTGCGGTTGCACTGGTAAACTCCGTCGACGTAGACAAAGATTGCAACGCCAGGAGCGATGAACTTGTTGGATGTAAGGTGAATCGAGAAGGTCTGTGGCTTGCTGGGTACGGGAATGAAGGTTTCGACGAAACTATCGCCGTACGTAGTACCGAACTCCTGCAATGCCTGTTGACTTTCCGATAGCTCGATCGCGCAGTTGAGGTCCTTCAGTGAGGGCATGATCGGACTGATGATCTTTCAAAAGGACTGCCGTGCTATGAACGAAGAAAAGGAGCGATCCTGGTGATGATATCTCAATGAAATTCTGTTCCGTATGTGGGTTGTGTTAAAGTGAGTGCTTGTTGTCACAGCGACCAATCAGTGTCGAGTGATAGTGAAAGCTCAAGAATGATCAATCAACATTTCAGCCAAGAGACGTGGGGCATGAGCATTCACATATCACCTCCAGGTACAAAATTTGGAGCAGAAGACGACAATCGATGTACGACTTACTGTGAGTGAAAGATACGAAAATATATTTACCAGTCGACAGCGCTATCATGCGATATCGGCAGCTGTCTGCTTCACGAGCACCCTACTTCACGTTTCCCAGCCTACCGCATATAGGCAAAGAAAACGAAACTCCGCTCGACTATGGCTGCAAACAGAGCTATTCGAAACGCACGCGATCTCCTTGGCTGCGGACAGTGTGCCCTAGGTGGCATTGCAGTAAACGATGACTCGCAGCGTGCATCGAAAGAATCCCAAAATATCTAGCACGAGACAGATGTGTCCGTAGATAGAGGGAGACAAGCGTTATTATTCACGTGTTCGGTGACTATGGGGTGTGGGGGAGAGAGACATTGGATGAAGATGAGATGACGGAGGCTGCACTGGCCAGCCGAATCCGCTAGCTTCTTTGGGCATAGTCCGTCTGTCGCTAGCATGCCCTGGCTGGTCTTGCTAGATAAGTACTCAGGTCCTTCAAACTCTTTGGAGTACAGTCTGAGCCGACAAGCGTCAAGTCCAAGCCGTACTTAAACCTCAACAGCGCTGACTCCAAAGTTCAAGAATGGGGTCAATCAGGCACCAGCGCCGCTTGCACCACGCTTGCACTAGGCATCCGAACCATGGATCGGGTGTTATATATCCCGCTCATCTCAATTCCTCTTTGGAGAATCAGCTCTTCAGTGGGTCTCTTGTCTATTGTTTTAGTATGATAGTAAGCCAGTTGAAGACCAGTCATTACGATAGCACGCACAGCTGCACCGGATCGATCGTCATCGACAGCGAACAGACACCACAAGACGCACGCCAGGACACCATTTCGCATATCGAGGTTTTCACGCCCAAAAATTCTCGGTTACTTGTTCAGCGATCAGTATGTCATCTACCAATCGAGTGACACGCGATCGACGCAAGCGGCCAAAACTCGAGCATAAAACTACAGACGACAAAAACTTGCAACCACATCCTGTCGAAATTTTCTCAACTGTAGTACATCCGGATATAGCCATGCTAGAATCAGAAACCAAAGTCGGTGACGCTGGTGTCTGTCAAGCCATCACTGCGCGGAATCAATTCGATTCACCCTTCCTGCGGTTACCAAGCGAGATACGCAATCAGATTTACAACTTTGCGCTCGGAGACAATGAGATCTATGTCATTTCCAGTGGTGACCAAAAGTCACAGCTATGGGGTCGCTCTTTAGGGCAAAAGATCTGGAGTCTCAAACCCATCAAACAGATCATGGCCATCAACTTGCCACTCGCATGTACCCAGATCCGTCATGAGCTCGGAGAGTACTACGCTTTCACTTTCAATTCGTTCGGCGCGATGACGGATGTAGGCACCGGGCCACTACTGCAACAACTTACTTCTGCTCAAAGGCATAGGATTGAAGTACTTACGTCAAACTATGCTTACCCCATCGAAAACAAAATTTCCTACTATGAACACATTTTTACCCTAGTACCAAATCTAAAGCGACTGGTCCTGAGAGATATGACTGCTATGAAAGCTCAAGAAAAGAAGAACACAGTCGATCGTATCCGGGCGGTTTGTAACAATAAGGAGATGGAAGTTGAGATCTTGGATATCTGCTGATCTCAATGGAATACGTGGAGGCTGGGTTGAGCATGTGGAATCAGCCTTCGCTTCTGGAAAGGCATTTACGAGGTGGATTAGGCAGGCAGAGGTTGACCGACGTGACTTGGTCATGCAACGAACCCGATTACGCTGCTTGATTGATCAGTACGCTTTTGTATTCAGGACGAGAAGAATTATTTTTATGCACAATTACACAGGCTCCAAGCGGTATTCGAAATATACTAAACACCACTCCCCTGCACCCAAACAATCCAAACACCCACCCATACTCTACGTACTCCCCAAATCATGCCTCTGCTCAATCACACTAACCCTTCCACTGAGATCTCGCTCATCAATCTCAATAACAGGCCCATGATACGTCTTCCTCGCCCAAACCGCATAATAAATCGCACTGATCCCAGCGATGGCACCCGTGACCAAAACAGCCCAATTCATATTCGCAGGCGTGACAGCAGCAAAGCTCGGCCAGAAGCTAAAGAAAAAGACGAAACTAAGATACGCACAAGCAAAGACATTGTTTGCGATGCCGATGGCTCCGGGAAGGCGCCAAGGGCCCCAGACGGTGCGTGACATTCCGTCCCTGGTTGTGGAGGAAGATGTTGTGTCCGTGTCGAAAGCTTCGCTGGGGGTGAGAATGGCACCGGTGCAGCGGCGATAAAGAAGAAGAGATGATGTGAGCAGGTAAGACGAGAAGAGACCGGCGATAGCGACGGAGATTACACCGTTGAAGGCGACGGTTGATCCGATGTTTACGAGGGCGAGTAGGCAGGCGATGAAGCTTGTGAAGGCTACAGCGTAGACGGGGATGGACGTACGATCGCTGACCTGGTTGGAATTAACACTGCTTCTTTCCTCTCACATAAATAAAGGGGCTGTATACATACCTTGCTCAAAGTTCTCCATCCAGGTAGTCCTCTGTCTCGGGCAAAGGCCCAACATATCCTTGATGTTGACGCGGAGAAGCCTACGTTCGCGCTGATGGTAAGTACCATGACGATCGATGCCATGACTGCAGCACCGGATCGCGATTGCACAGCGCGGTGGAATATGGCCATGAAAGGGAAAGCAGGATTCTCATCGAGCACTTCGTCGAGGTTGCCCATGCGGAGAAGCACGGTGAGGATCATGGCGAAACCGAGAGAGCCGTTGATTGCAATGCCGGTCATGATGGAGCGAGGCACTACAACCTGTGCATTGTGGATTTCTTCGGACAACTATAACAGCATGTTAGTGCTTTGCTGCGAATTGTAGTGGCATGCATTCGTCTCTTTTATGAGCATACTCACATGAATTGGCCCGTCACCACCAACAAAGGCAAATACACTCCCCATGATTCCAACACAAAAGCTCAATCCTTGGCTTTGCCAGCCACCCATGTTGACAAATGTCGTAAAGATCTCTTTAGCATTGCCCTGCGGTCCTAGCACTAGAAGAGGGATCAAGATGGCGAAGAAACCCAGGATATGCAAGACCAGTAGCGCGCCTTCGAACTTGGGCAGTAGCCATCCGGCAGCGATATTAATGAAGACGCAGAAGGCGATGATGGCCCAGTAGAGGAGGGTAACGTGCCAATTTTGCGGGACGTAGGTGTCAGGTTGGCAGAGCATGAGGAGACCTTGGATGAGACCGCCGGTCAGGAAGGCGCCGGAGCCAAGAGAGGCGAGCCAGCCGCATAGTGTGAGCCAACCTATACAAAAGTGTGTTAACAAACGATCAAGTCATGAAGTTTGGAATTTGGAAGAAAATTGCCGTACCTGAGATGTAGCTAAGCAGTCTCGCAGAGCTTGGAGGAGCAAGCATAGACACCCAATGGTACTGACCACCAGATGTAGGCGCCCTTGGTTCATTCTTAGCAATTGGCCTTTGTTATACTGGACTTCGATTGCCACTCACATTGAGACAAGCTCGCTGAGAACCATGAAGACGGATACAGTGCCTACCCAGACGGTAAGGTAGCCATAGATGACACCAGCCGGCCCACCACTTCTTCTTTCAGCATACAGTCTCTTCGTCAGTACGTCGTACCATTACTCACTTTTGGAAACCGACCAGGAACAGCCTTAGACCTTGTTAGTTACGTGTCAATGTAGTACTGGGGTGTTGTACAACTAACACAAGAGATCCTTCCCAGGTGATCAAAACGGTACAGCTGAATCCTAGGATGGATAGGAAACCAAACCGGCGCTGCAATGCCGTTAGTGATGTAAGCAAAAGCTGTAGAGATGATACGTACCTTTAGCACAGCTTTCTTTCCCAGTCTCGCTAGCGCAAGGTCGTCGGTCTTGTTGGTGGACTGAGTCGGCGAGACGATCAGCTCGACATCGCCACTCTTGGTCGTAGACGACGCCATTGTATCACCAACACGAGAAGGGAAACCGAGAAGAAAAACAATCAAGGGACCTGTGATACGAATAGATGATGAAAGGGAAAGAGAGATGAGCGCAAAAGAATAAAGCGAGAAACGAATTGCCGTAGGAACAAGTACTACAGCAGCTGCATAGATGAAAAGCGGCTTATGCACAACATTCCAGCCGAGATGGACTTGTTGATCCTCGTACAAGATCCTTACCGTTACCCTATATCCCGCAAACCAATAAAATCACACCACCGTGTCCCGGTCCGGACCACCTACTCAAAGAAAACTAGGCGCATATGCTGCGGCATACGTGCCGTGCCACATGCAAGGCGAAACGAGGGTATAGCAGGGGTGCGCGCTCGCTGCAATGAACGCCAAATTTTTGCATGTGTTGGTATGTACATTTTGAAAGCTCGTCTACTATGGATATATTCGCACTGTAGTGCTATGGTTTTCACTGCGGTATTGTTGTAGCCGGCATGTGGGCTACGGGGTCTACCTGCACTGCCCAACTCTTCGATACCTTGATGCTTCTATCGGGCCCGCCCTGAGAACGGGTAGAATGCTCTGAGCGCCCTGACCGTGATATGTCCATGAGCTGGTACCCTTTGCTGTCGTCTTTGGAGGTATGCTCCCCTCGACGACGTAAGTCGTCCAAACGCATCAGCCCCGATTCGAAACCCTCCATAAATAATTTGGTGTATGGAAGGCATGTTGTCACAATGGCAATACATTGTACAATCTGGTTGCAGATGGTTGATCGCCAATAACCGAGTGTCAGATCGTCCTTCAGAGCAGCATCGGTGCTTTCGCCGTTGAAGAAGCCAAGCTGGATCGCAGCAGCAACGAGAACGCTACGAAGAGATTGTCAGTACTGACTGGAGTGCGTTCGAAACTTCGAACTTACAGCAGTCGACATGAGAATAAAGTCATGACCGCCGCCTTCCGTTGTCGTCGTATTTGAAGTTGTGCTGTTATGACCAATTCCAGTGCCACGATCGCGATCTCCGTTACGATGTTGAAACAGGAAACGATATTCCACCAGGTCAACTATCCATAGTCAGTCACAAGGCCGAATCGGCATCTGTGCAGTTTACTAACACGGTCGATGCATCGATCCAATGTCCTGTCCCACGGCCGTGGTAGCCGGCATTCGAACGCTGCGACTAATACGGAACACACCAGCCACAGAGTTATCACAGCCAGGACGCCAAAGTTGATTCTACGATGAAGTTCGGAGGGCGTCAATTGATGGACGAATGCTACGACAGCAAGCTTCGAGAAGCCAAGGGAGACGATGAAGAGGATCATCGCAGCGTATTCACACTACACTCATATCAGCATTCCTGACCAGGTACTCGAGCGGACGTATGAGATTACTTTGAGGTTCGACTCAATCTGGTATCCGTCTAAGGTCGCAATCGGTGTGCCAAAGCCGTAGTGAGCTTGCAGTGACACTGCGATCGACTGTGCGACGCAGAATACCTGGTCAACTCCGTTAGTCAACGCTCGCAGCATTCTGGTGTTGAACTTACCAAGGCTGCAAGAACGAGCCATGACTCGATCGTGAGGCTCCGGAACACATAGAACTTGATACCGGCGTGCGTGAAGAATGCCAACAGACTGGTAACAAGAGTGAACCAAGTGAGGATCTGAACGATGGGCGTCCGATTCAAGTCCGATATAATGACTTGATTCATCGTCGTAGACATGCGCTATGATGGCTGTTGAGCGGAGACCGATCTACGACTATCGCGAAAATGACCATGTTGTATGGTTTGTGGGGTGAGCGGCGCGGGTAGCCAAAAGCAGGGTGAGTGTATCAGGTACGGACCCGCCGACACGGCTCTCTTCGTGAAGAGTAGTACAGCGACGCGGTGCGACCTGCAGCTACGCAACAGCGCCAACGCCAGAAAACTATAGTGAAGCTGTCGCGTTGGGCACAAAGCGGCTGGCATGCCGGCTAAAGGAGCCGTTCATTACCTTATGCCGCCCTCGAGACCTTGTGGGTTTCGACCGGAATAATCGAAAAGAATGCTTACGCAGCTAAAGCTTTCTTGCGAAACGTTCTGGCAAGTACACGCATGACACTGCTCATCATGGTAGACTTCGTGCCATGCAAGCGGTGTCAAGTAGATGCACGAACACAGGCACGTGTTCCGAGGTTGTTGTCGACGAAGACCTCGATTGATCCCGAGGTGGTTTGAGCCGCGCGTTTGTTGAACGTATCCTTGCCCCAGTTGGCAGGTAAGACAGCAAATTTTCCAGCTTTCCGGGACGCAATCTAGAGAGCATGCACGCAGTACTCGGTCTTCAGGCGAAGCGGGAACCCGATCATCACACTAAATCAGTGCCGGGAGCGGTCCGCATCATTGGAGTTAGCTCTTCATCGTCGCTTAATCGGACGGATGCCTCCATTGATATATAGCGCGATGGCGTGACGCTCGCTTGCGGAAAACGATGGTCTTCTTTTCGTGAAGTGGATGGTTCAGGAAATTGTAGCAGCATGCCTGACGGCGAAGCTGATTGGCTTGCGGTTGGGCGGAACAGTATGCCACTTTATCCACAAGCGGAGTCGCCGAAACATTAAGAAAGCTTCCCGTTGTAGGACTCTCGATTGAAATACACGAATTTCTAGCCAAATGTCGCGGAGAACGTGTTGAAACTGGTGACACGAACTCTCGATAGGAGGATTCAGGATGACATCGCGCCAAGCCGCTAGATGAAGCTAGGCCTCAGCGATGGTGTGTCTCCTTGTTTGACTTGCGCGGAGTACTACCAACCATCACACTACGCAAGAAGATGTTATCCGGACTAACGCAGCGGCACATCCCAGAAACGGGCGAAATCTTAGATACATAACGGTATTTCCGAATGTGGCGGGTAAATCCTGCAGGCTGCGAGCTACGCGATAACAAGCTCTGGACCGAGGAATTTCATCTGGACCCCGTCCCGCCTGGATGATGAATCCATGGCTCATCGATTCACTGGTGTGCTGTAGAAGGAACCTGCCGACAACGAGCAACGGGTTTTTCATGCAAACATATCTTGCTAGAAATTACCCAGTAAAGAGGTCGCCCCAAGACCATGAGTCCTACCTCGGTCTAGCACCTCGAATCCTCCCTATCTGCCGTACATTGCCGTCCAAAAATGGAAGAAGGAAGTGTTTCGACCATTCTTCCAATTGCGCTGCAACGTTGATTTATTGGCCCAAAAACTAACATCCGCAAAAGCCTGCAAAACAGTCAAGAGGTCGACAACCGAGATGTAATTCGACGGTCTACTCTTCTCCCACCCGATCTTATCCGACTCGTATCCTTAAGAAAGACTTCGAGCACTCAATACAGATAATTCTGTGGAGCGCTAAGCGAGATCCGGATCGCGCATCTTCAAGGACTCTCACGGTTACTGGTCCCAATGCTCATCATTGACAAGCGCGAGTCCCAAATCTTGCATGATGGCATCCTTCGCCTTATTTGTTGGTGCCCACAGCGGGTCACGTCCCGCATAGTAATTCTTCCCAACGACGATATGGGTTGCGCGAAGCGAAACACTAGCCTCACCGCATGTTTGCCTGTTGGCGTATGATACAGCGAACCAATGGCGTGTTTTCTCACTCGCAAGCGTCGCTGCTAGAGGATTCGACTCTCAAACCAGATAAAGTGGATGGATCCAGTGAGTACGTTGTCGCGAATATCGTTTTGTATGCCTGCGAGACCCCGAGCAAGGGACGATGGATCCCGGCAACGTGCTTCAAGACTCAATTTTGCTGACGATAGCGAGAAGCGCCAGTAAAGCTTGGATGTGTTAGCGGGCAGACTTTTATGGTAACCAGTTCGACTCACAAGTACCAACAGTCAGTATGAATGCAGCGACTGTGAAAGCCGTCTGTGCATCACCACCTTTCGCTGTCCATGCAACGCCCACTACTGTCGCTACTACCCACGGCACTGATCCAACGAGTCCAATGCGGAAACCGCTCCAACCTTCAACAAACTCTAGAGCATGACGTCGGTCAGCTTGACGAAGACGAAATACCCATTCAATTCATTCCAATTCTGTTTTGATGCTCTCCGGATGTCGATACGCGTAGAACACCTCCTGAAGGGTGAAGTCGTCCATCGGAACAACTTCTGGACGGGTAGTAGGCGTATATGATAAGAGCCGAATTTGCCTCAGCGTTTTGAGCGACAGGTACCGTCTCCAAAAGCCACAAATGTGCTGTTCATACTCTTGATGGAGTGCATGGAAGAACTGTTGATCGTTGCAAATCATATCGAGTTTTTCGTCCCAGAATTCCTTTGGAATATCGGGTATAGACGCAGCCCATCTGGTTTTACTGGCAACCCGAATCTGGCGTCTTATACAGCCCTGCCTGCCAGATCTATAGCACATCAGATTCAAAGAGCATGTTGGCTTGCTTGAACTATCGACTTTTGGCGAAGTAACCTCTTGGGTCGGAGGGAGAACAGAAGGCTCGATCACTACACTAGGAGTGTGTGGGCTAGGGTACGGCGAACTGTTGTAGTCCGCTAATGACCTTGAGCTGGCAGGTGATGGAGATCTTGCCTCGACTGGAATACGATCTCTAGAATACGGGAGATACCTCGGAGTACCCCGTCTCTTGAGAGGGCGCGCAAAGAGCTGTCCATTTTCGTCCTCGTTGTTTTCCTCTCCCGCTATTGAGAACATCGCCTCATTGGTCGTGTCCAACGTCGAGGCCTGGTGTTCTGCGGTAGTTCGCCGTTGTGGGTCACATACAACTTCGGGACGAATGTAATGTTCGAAGTCCAGAGGGCTTTGTGTAGCTTGGTATTGAGATAAGCGAGGAGGGTCAACTCCGTAGGCTGTTGTTGATGCTGCTGGTATCGACCCCAGTCCCTTGGTAGGTGAAGTTGGTCGCACATTGAAATTACGTTCAAAACTTGTGAGCCACTTCATTTTCTGACGTTCAGTTGGAGTTGCGCAGGATATGGAAACCCTGCAGCATTGAGATATCTGTTGTCGCTTTCAGCCGCGGCTGACTTTTGAATTGTATTCCGCTGCGCCACCGCCACCACCGCCTTGTGACTCCTAATCAGAATAAAAGCTCAAGGCAGCTCAGAACAAGAAGCAGGCCAAAGCCGCAGTAAGTGCATGTCTCCTGAATCGATAAGAACATACGAGCTAAGTTCAAACATTCTGGTTGGCTATGCTACTTCAATACGCACATGGCCTGGTGGGATTGGGGGCTCGGCCTTTGCTAGCGGTTTGTGACGAGCCTGTTGTATGTTGGGATCATACGCCGTATAGACGATTAGTAATGGTTCCAAGAAGCACAGCCTTCGGAGTATTATTATCGGTGGATAGCTTCGACAGCAGACGAAAGGTTCCAGACAAAGCCACTAAAGTCATAGTCTGCAGGTGGGGTGATCAGGACCACATGCCAAAAAAGCAAGAGCACCATCCCTGATTTGGATAACATTGGCGTATGTAGTTTGTCGGAAGCGTTCGTCTCGCTTCCCAACGACTGATCTATCGAGACGACTTACCCAGCTTCCAATTCTTTTACGCCCTTCTAAGAAGATATACATCCAATAACTATATGTTTGCGACAATCATAACACCATCTACGTACATAACCCTCATACTGACCAACCGCCTTCCAAGAGGGATTGACAGAATCATGATACCTGTCGAACAGCTGTTAGCCCTGAGGGGCGCAGGAAAAGATGCCTAACTGTCTGTATGACGTAGCATAAGACTATCACTGCTCTAGAAAGACTTGGCTGTTCTTCTGTCCTTGTAACGTCGTACTGGAGCATTCCATGAGTCATCGGAAACAATGCTCGATGGTTCAGTCATCATTGTGATTGCATTTGCATTTGTGTAAAATGTGTGTGTCATGATTATATATATTTTTGACTGCGCTCCCAGTCAAGATTCCCACAGATGATACAACTACCCACGGCACTGATTCACTAGTAGCATGCGATATCATAGGGATTTACGCTAGACCAAAGGACGTAGATTGGGGGTGGTGCTACCCTAGACTACAGTTAATGTATAAGCTCATGTCGGGCGCGAAGAGCGACAAAGAAAGCGGTCTCAAATTGGCTACCAACCTTTACACTAACACAAGACATTCCCCGTTCTGCACTTCCTCAACCTTAACTTCCTTCATCACCTCCCCTTCTCCTCTTTTCTCCTGCCCCAACCCCCACTCCAACGTCCTGAAGATATCATTAGCAAACCACCACACCAAACCTCCATAACTCAGCTGATCATTATGTGTACTAATCCAATACTTCGCTCCACTCTCCCTATACAACTGCAGTCCACTCGCTACCCCGAAAGTAGTTTGCCAATTCCAAGTCCAACTCTCCTTGAGCCCATGCAGCATTGCAAGAGTAGAGAAGCTAGGGGTAGAGCGGTGCAGAAACATCTGCAGAGCTTGCGTGGAAGTGTGCAGACCGTGCGGCGAATAGAGAACTGCTTCATACGTGCCCGGTTCGGGGGTCCAGATCAAAGCACTGAGGAAGTTGAGTTCGTGATGTCCTTTGATGCGAAAGATTGTTAGGTAGGAGGGGAGGATGGGACTTGGGTGCAAGGTCATCCAGTCGCCGGTGAACGTGTCTTGCTCAAGATCTTTGTAGGTGGTGATGGTCTCGAAGTGATTAAGTTTCTTGATGATGAGAGCTCCTTCTGGCGTGGTGAAGACAGGAACTGAAGAAGAGAAGGTTAAGAGCGTGGGTGTGTGGAGGTGATCTCCATAATTCAAGTTTACGAGTATGGCATCCACTGGAGATTTGCCGTTGGCCGTCTGAATTGTGGAAGACGCGACAATGCCTGCTTCGGCTGCTGCGGACTCAATTTCTAGCACAAGTCGTTCAACGCCTGCGCCATTTCTGACGGCAGGTGGGGACGATAAAGCAAGAAAGACTATCCATGACGACACTTGAACTTCGGGTCCATTGAGCCAAGGGTCGTGCACGATATGGAAGTATGCCTTGCCTGTACTTTGGCGCTCCGCAAAAGGTCGAGGAAAGGACAGAAGCCATGAGTTGTCACCGTTCAGTGACGTGAAGATAGGTCGTAGCTTTTGCTTGGAGTCGAAATGCGTTTTATACTTGGCACCACGACTGGCGGTCATTGCGATGAAGGCTGTGTGTATTAATGTCAAACGGAGGCGCTCTCAAACAAAAATATTGGGGCGTGGCTCCTCAATATACTGGGCATCGAGCAGTGCAGCTGATCTCCTCTCCAGGGCGTTAAGCCGTCAGCACGACGCAACCCTGGTCGGTGGCTGGCACCACAATGCCCAGCACCAATCAAGATCTACACGGACGATAGACTGGTATCAGAGCTTATGTAATAACCTTGGCGGATTGTGGTGGTCAGCAGCTTGTGGCTGTGCATCAGCCTGTTTATGATAGGACCACAAACGCGATCAAGAAAACTGCTGACATGGACATCAAGTTCTTTCCCAGAAATCTACGCAATAGAGCCCCGCACCAAGCTTCCTTCAAAAATAGTGGCACGCCTGACAACCCCACGTACTCATATGCACTCGCTCAAAACTCTCACTAATCGCAATCTTTGTCAACACCTCCAACATGACCTCTGAAGATACCTTCAAAGCGACTGGCGACCTCAAACAAGACAGCCCAGTCGCCCGCTCAGACCCCCGCGATGACGCGAGCCTTGCAACCCTAGTAGATTCAACTCCAACAATGCCCCCCAATCGACAAACAACTCAAGAGTCGCAAGCAGCCAAAGAATCTTATAGCGACTACATCAAGAATCTGCCACCGCCATTTTGGGAAACCAAGACACCGAAGACGAAAGCAGCGAACGACGAAGTGATCGCGACCAGAATCAACGCGGTATGCGCGCCAGTCACAGCCGAGCAGCGCGAAGAAGATGAGCGCCTGAAAACTATGTCTTGGCGCGAGCGGTGGCGCGACCGCAAAGCGAAACGAGAGGCTAAAGAGAAGAACAAAGATCCTGATATAAGACCTGTAGAGACGGGAAGCCGAGCACAGCTAAACGTCTTTGGTAGCAATATCAAGGAGAAGCGGGTAAAGCGGTGACGTGCCTCCACAAGGAATGTGCTGCAGATTGCATAGGAAATTACACAACAACAAAAATAGACAACCGCTATAGTATGCCCGCATCTCTGTAGCACCGTTGTGAAGAGCATGTTTTAACTTCGTTTGCTGGCTTAGTCGTTACCCGCATGATTTGCATCCACTCCCACAGCAATGCCTCTATAATTCCCTAGCCTTTGTTGGAAATTCTACTAGGAAGTGCTGTTAGAAAGTGTTTCTTCGACCGATCATTGCAGAGCGTTAAGATCACGATTGTCATAGCTCAAACCTTCGACTCAGACCACATAAAGATCGTTTGAAACTTTACAGACTTCGAAATAAAAGGTAAAGAGGCAGACTTGGTTTCAGAAGTTCTCACAAAACCATCGATTTCTTGAGCGAAATTGAGAAATTCATCGCCAGAAAGTGGAGATGTAGAGAACACATCCTATTTGACCCATCGCAAAAGACTTGGGATGATATAGTTGATATGGACGGATATCTAAAGCTTTTGATGCAAGGGCGCCTCGCGACATTGTGTATCTCGGGTCATAACGGGTAACCTTACTGTACAATGTACTCATCGAATATGCTTGGCATATCCGAGGCAGTTGTGCCGTTCGAAGCATATGCGAGCCTATACAGGACCGTGTTGTCAGTATGATATATCCAGCATTATGTTTCGTGGTTAGAGGTTCTCTTACATGGTCTTGTATGTCTCGTCTTCGAGATCCAGAAGGTTGTATGTCGAACCGCCTTCAATCTCCAAAAGGTCTGGCTTGATGCAGTCCTGGCTATCAGAAGCGACGTCGGTTGACCTCCTCTTGTTGATGAAGCTATAACCAGCTCCCGTGTACTCCACGTTGTTGACTTCTCCACCATGGCAGACCAGATCCCTGCCATTCGAGTCGAACACATGGATTATAGGCCCACAGTTACCTCCTCCGTGCGACCTGGTGCTCAGTCTCCAGTTTGTGGGAATGGCACGGAACGAGTAAGCCCATGATACACCGCCGGTAGCGTAGCATCGGTCGGGGTTCACGTTGGTGAACGTGACCCTGTTTCCACCACCACAGTGTGACTCGATGTGTCCTTGGATATCGATAGCTGCTACTGCAGCAGCGAGGGCGAAGATAGTGGTAAAATGCTTCATTTTGTAGAAGTAAAAAGAGCTGTGATATTGAAAGATATCAAGTCAAGTCTGTAGAGGAGCGATTGATGGTGCGATGAGTGCTCTCTTGACCGGCTGCAGTCTACTCTTTTATACTTCTCTCATCCATGTCTAAGGGAAGATGCACATGCATGCTCTTTGTTCAGCTTACCTGATGTATCTAGGTGACATCCTAAGTTCTGCATGGTAGATAGCGGTCAAAGCTTTGCAAGGCCTCAAAGGAGAACTCAACCTTTAGCGATACAAGGATGATGATTAACCACGCGAGATGAGACTCTGAGAGTGTTGTAGCTCCAGGTACAAATGCTCGGAAGGTCAAGCAGATGGAGTGCTGAAGCCGTGCCGGGCGTCTACTGGTCCTATGACTGCTTGTGACGTGGTGGAGTCTACTGCGTAGAGGATCTAGACCGACAATGTCAGAACATAAATACGTACGTGTTTTTTATGTCGACAACATCTGCACGTGCGTCAAAGCGACATCGACTACAAGTAGGTCCACAGTTGTGGGTCGGAAGACGGGAAACGGCCCTAAACAGAGATCACCCGTACGATCAGGCCAATCAACGCTACTAGACATTCAAAGGACCAACCCCAAGCAGAGCCTTTTCGCACGCCCTTTGGTGTTCTTGTAGGACGCCTCGGGCGTAATTATATTGCTTGACAACGCTTGTTGATCAATTCTAAGACAGTAGCCATTTTGACTTAGCCTGTATACGCAATGTAACATTAAAATCCTTGTGGATCATGTACGTCCACCATAAGCATAGTTGTGACAGTGCGGCCTCAATTGGGAGACGAAAAGGGAAAGATGGTCTGCAACCGGATGAAGCGCGAGCAATTGATTGCCTCACTTTTTTTTTTGTACCTCAATGTGAACTTTCGTAAGGCCGAGCGATTTATCCTTCGCGCATCATTACCCTAATAGAAGCTAGATGCAGTACCAATGATCAGAGTTCGCGGGTCATCTTACATGATGCGCAGGAAGGTAATAAGATGATAAATACCTATCTTGACAAATCCTTCGATTCTACCCTTGCTCCCGGCATCTGAAGCCCTCGCAACTACTTCCTAAGTAAGACGGATGGTGCGCTTCCGATATCTCTTGAGCGCTTTGAAATACGTCTCTTTGACTACTTCAATACCCCCACTCCATCCAACTCTGTTTGTTCTTGAGTCTCCAGCTGTATTGCCCAATGCCAATTCTCGTCCAAGCATTTTCGTTCTCTCGGAGTATCAGAGTGTGCATGACTAAACCAAAAAGTCCTAAAACCAGTTCTCTAACTCGATTCCGACGAAACGTATCTTGTTCTTGAGCATCTGGTACATCCAACCACATTCTGAATGTGAAAGGAAATGAGGAGGGTTTATGGAAAGGCCCACTTGGAGCGTCAACATTCACCCAGTGGTCTCCCTCGTCTCGGTCGAAAATCAAAGGGAGAATAATGCCATGAACCACAAGATGAGGCATGATCCTAGCTTCTAGAGGCAGTGCCGTGTCAAGTGCTATGTTGGACCGATGTGCCTCCGTGAGGTTTAGCAAACCACCACCTAGAATCTCCACGCTTATTCTTGCTGAGTGCTCATCAAGCGACGAGTATAGGCCATGAGTATAACAAAAAACATGTGAGAATCTTTCTGCGGTGGTCAAGTCTTCGAGACCATACAGAAGAGCAGATGGATAAGGTGGCTCGTCAATATAATCCCATCCGAGCCATGACCATGAAGAGAAGTCGGCCCGTCGCTGCACACTGTGGTTCTGCATACGCCAAAAGAGTGTTGCATTTATCGTCCATTTTGAAGCTGAATTAAATAGGACACCAAATATTTGGAACAGCGGTTTTTCGTGCGATCTGAACTCATTCAACACGCCTTGGATGGCGTTTAGTCGATCTGACTCGTGAGACAGCTGTCTGCGCATATACACGGAGATGTGATCGAAGAATGCGTCGAGAATACTTCTCGAACGGACAACTGGCTCATCGGTGGAGGTACCCGGAAAAGCTACTGTCGTTGCAATTTTTGGCGTGCGTCTTCTGTGCAGGAAAAATTGGTCAGTGTTTCTTCTCCTCGAGATGATTGTCTGCCCATTGACACGATGAGTGCTCCCAAATGAATGCTGCATGTTGCACTGAGTGTAGAGACCATTCGGCGTGAAAACCAGTTTCCGGACAGACATGACAGCCCCTTGATACGTCCAGCCTCTGGTAGCCCACTTGGAGCCCTGAAGTTCATCGACTGGATTGCTGAAGAGGCGCGCAAAGGAGTATGGCCCCAGCTGCAATACTTCACCTGAATTGCACTGACAAGAAGAGACTCCGGGCAATCCGAGTGTATGGTCTGCGCCTCCTGCAGCGATGAGCGTCAACGTGGCCTCAGCGTAGATATTGCCCATATTGACGATCTGCTGGTGCTTCTGTGTTGTATCGTGTTAATTGATACAATACCGATCGACCCACAGGTAGCGGAAACACAATTGTAGTGTAGCTATCATTGCGTCCTTGATGACGGGGGGGGGCATCGGACAAAGAGTCATCGTTATCTGGTGCTTTTGCGTCACCCCAAACGTAGCTAAGAGCAAAGTACTTGGCGTTGTGAGGCATCGGAACAACTTTCTCATCCTCGCAATCAATACAATACACTGTGAATTCGGTTCGTACTGTAGTCTCGGGACATTCTTTCGAGTGGTCGGCCATACATGTTTTTAGCCACTGTGAGATGTTTTCACATTCATCTTGTCCGAAGGTTGGGTGTATATTTCCATCCTGGGAACACAGAGGAACAGTATTCATTGGAAGCATGAGACGCTGAGTGGAACACTGATGTTGACGCTGGTAGCTAGAGGTATACGATTTCAGATCGTCAGTGACGATACAGAGCCGGCCCTGTACTGGACGTAAATCAAGGTTCACTGATCCTAGATTGACAAGAAATTAATCTCTTGTCTGGTTCATGATGGAATCATCGAGTCTCCAGCGCGCAAATGACCTGCAGCTTTTGCACCTGGTATCAACCTTTCCAAGCCTGATAATTGCAGTTTGCGAATTGTCTAGTCTCAACGCCTTGATCTGTTCGAGATCGTTGCTGCCTATCTCATGGCACCTCTGACAGAAGCCACTTGAAAGCAAGCTATTGTTCTGATTGACCGGCTCGGTATATGCCTCCAATTTCCAGGCATATAGATTCTTGCTAGAGAAGTCCTGGTAGGCCTGGTAGGGCTCATCGATGTAAACATAATGTGGTAGGGGACCGTCCGGAGTTTTAGGAACAATCTCTTTGACGACTTGTGCTTCGTCCGATAGCCTGGGCCTGTCAATATAGGCGCATCACAAGAAAAAGTGGAGCGGCCTCACTTGGCATTTTCCGCACCGTTCTGCGCACCGTAAGTCGTATCACCTTGATTGAAGTCATCAGTAGCCGACATGGCCACGATCGCTCCTCATGTAGGTCGCGGCTTCCGCTCCTTGATGTGAACCAGCGTTCTTGGCTTGGTGGTAGGTTGATCGAAAGATATTGCCCATCGAAGCCTTGTCCATTTAGCTGCGATGGGATTGTTCTCAGTCTCAGCCTCGCGTACTCCGCAGCCGTGTCCCGCTTCTTGGCATAGCAGGCAACCACATCACACTTCGCTTACGCAGAACGTCCCAAAGCTTCATCACTACTCTCTTACTCGTTGTCGGTCCTCTATAGCATAGACCTAGTCGGCCAAAGGATGCTGTTCGATCAGATCACCAAACGATACTCTATGACAATCCCACAAGTAACGTGGAAGGCTTCGACGGCCGGGGGTGGGTTCTGCGGAAGGGCCTTTGGTGGTCGCACATATCCCGCACCTCGCATATTACATCCGGCGTAGGGACAGCATATTGCGACTAGCTATCGAACACTCCTATCGCAGTGCTGGAGTTTCGCTGCAGTTTTGGATGCTCCAGCTGTGGCGGAATCGTGATTGCGGATAAATCTACCTTGGTACCGAGCTGACTGAGAAGGGATCAACCCAGATCCAACGTACGACCTGTCCTTGGTAATCATGTGCCATTGACCGACTCAAAGTTCATAGCCGGAAGAATGTCAAAGTAAAGATCTTCAAGCTGAAGCACGAGGGAGCTCAAAAGGGTGCGAGTATATGCATGCGATCAAGAAGTTCAAAGCAAATGTCTCAAGAACACATGTTTCACAGTTCTACCTGCGTTAGGATAGATACTTCCTGCATAGATGATACCCGGAAGAATGCAAGGATCGATTCTATTTAGGCAATGCGACCCGCCTCAAACGCCAAATGAGAAGTTGTGTGTGGAAGATTTCATAAACGCTGGGACAAAAGCTCCGTATGTCGCATCCGATGTGGCGGGTCCAAGAATATCCGAAAAGATTTCGCGTGCCTGATTATGGGGTGCGGCCATGTTGCTTAGCAGTCCCTGCGCGAGCTGCAACCAGTCTGTGACTTGCGCAAATCTCGATCGTAGTAATTGGATCTTCAAGCTAGTCAGCTTGTCGCCGTTGCTTTTTCATGGAACAGATGAATCACTTACTTCTGCTGTTTGTTCGAAGGTAGCTGTCTGCTCGTCAGATCGCATTGCAATATTATAAAATTTCTTGCAGCCATCAAGTAGATCACGCACATCACCTCCTTCTTTTTGGAGGCGCTCAAGATATTGAACGAAGTCGTGGATGAGATGAGCATCAGTACGCGCTTGAACTGACGCTGGATGCGCAAGTACTTCTGACAACAAGATTAGAAATGCGGAGAGTGGGAAGCATAGTGTTTGCCTCGACGCCGTTAGCCAATGAACATGAGATTTTCATTTAGCGAATTCTAAAAAATACATACCAGAGATGTGTCAATGGCTGCCATTGCAAGCGGAGCTGTACGCGAAGTATTTCCCGAGCTGCTATTACACAGGCTGCTCTAGCTAGCTGACTGCTGGAAGGGCATGCATTCAATTCAGCAGCCGGCTGATCGTCGGAGACGGGATCAGATACCATCGGGCGGGCTAACAATACTACTACCATGCTGACTTTGCTTATGCAACTAAAATAGATGTAGTGTAGCATAGCGATAGGCATTTCGAGGAGCGGCGACTCGTGCGATCGAAAGCCTGGCTGGATACTGATTGGTAAAGAATGTTTCCATGCTTGAAGCTCTTTATCGATTGCTGTGATGGCATCTTCAATATCAGAAAGCTTTCGCTTGGCATTCCTGGAAAGCGCTTGTTGAAGTACTTTGTGAATCCGCAACTGCGTCACAGCAAGGACAGCTCGTCGTCGGAGATAAATGGCTTGCTCAGTCTGTATGAGATCTTCTGTGTGATCTAAATGGTCTGAATCATGATGATATACGTGTCCAGGAAATGCAATGTCGAAATTATCTACGTCTAGCGATGAGGGTGTACCATGCCTGTGTGCTAGATCAGCATTAACAACATATGTTACCCAGAAGATCATTTTCTGTCTTTCCGCTAAAATGGCGTCCAGATCAATATAATGCTCGTACTTGTGCAGACCCAGCATGTACACCGACTGGGCGACAGTAGCTGTCAGTCGTGCAGCGACGCAGGCATCAGCGGTGCGCAGCATGAACAAAGTCATTGCGAGCAACGCCTCGCAGGTGGAGATCTGAGGCCTTTGAACAATGGCGAGCTCGACGTACATCGCAAACGCGTTCTTGAAGAATGCCCATGCTATTGAGGACATTCCAACGACGGACCCACTGGCTGTCCTGTGATGTGCAGACATAGCCAGGAACGAACAAAGCGTAGCCCATCGACTTGGATCACTGGAACACTCGTCCACGCCGGCACGGTACTGTTCGACAAGTTGTTTCAGGACATCTTCCGTCGTAAGGAAAACCCCGTGAAGCTGAACCTCCTCAATGACTGGTCTTATTAATTCCACTGCATGATCTTCAGGAGGAAGGGATGTAAATTTCCTCCTCTCAAAGCAGCTCTGATTCGCCTGTATGCGAGCTTGCATCTGTCTTGCTGTCGTGCGGATGTCTTCAGAAAATGCTATAAATTGCTTGACGGCTGTAGGCAATATCCTTTCGGTTCCACTAATACTGTAAGGACTCCGGGTTGATTTATTCGTGCTATTGCATCTTGGAATGGCTTGGCCTTTGAGCAGCGTGGTCAGTCATATACAGTTTGATCCAGATTTTCTTCTATGGGTTTACCTTCCCTGAAGTCCTGAGTTACCGTGTCGTCACGCACCTCTTCGTGGCATCTTGATTGTTCGCTCTCAATAGTACGTCCAGGTTCTGACACCGAAGGGTATCTACCCTGGTCATGCTGCTGTATGAGGGGCTTGGTTGATTCTTTACTGCACAAGATAAGCTATTCATCCGCTTGTACAACTCCTATTCACGTTTACCTCTTCCCAGGGCCCCGTCGCCGCCGTACCGTATAGATACAGTGTTTCTCATGCTTTGAGCAGTAACTACAGCAAGGTTGACCACCGTCGCAGCGTCCTTTTCTCTCCTTGCACTGCTGGCATGCCTGATGAAGGTAAACGATCTCGTTAACTTCCAAGGTTCTCTTATTGAGTTGAACAGTACTTACGTTGATGATTCGTTTATGACAGAGCATGGTTGTGAAAGCTCCCACTGCTTTGCACTTGTGTTGGTTGAGAAGATTGGGCTGAGAGAACATGATCTTGTCGTTTGGTGGATTAGGGCTTACAAAGCATAAGCACGTGATCGGAATCATCTCTCGATCACGTTTGGAGTGCATCTCACTAGAACATTAGTCCATCTCAGAGTAGATACACTCAAGGCCTTCTTTATTCCCACAACACTCCTCAATCGCTCCGGCCTCAAGACGCATGTGAGATAACGTCTGAGGAGGCTGTCGACATGTGACATTGCCTACGGATACAAATTGCATCCGAAGACTACCGCGCACAGACGTGTTAGTAAGGCCGGATGTATTTTCCTTCGTAGATAGAAGACGGATGCATTTTTTGCTAAGAACAATGACTACTTACGATTTGCTTACAAAGGCTGTGAGTACCTAGGTATGCTTGGTCATTCAGGATGTAATGAGGTTCCGAAGCCGACTGCCAAGTGTGTTTATGGTCTTGCGCAGTATAAAAAGAGTCGCTGGGTGCTATACTGAGCCATATCAAAGAGCACATCAGTACTGATCGATTACACCACGCATCATCTTCCAACAACAAGTAGCCTGCCGTAGAGATGTCTGTCATTGCTGTCGCAGGAGGAACCGGAAAGCTCGGCCGTACTATAGTCGAAGCCATCCTTGGACAGGAGAAGCATCAGGTCGTCGTCCTCGCTCGACTGGTTTGTAGTTGTATCGCGTGCTATGTATTTCGCTGACATGGAGCTTTAGGGCAGCGAATCCAAAGCCAAAGAGCTCGGCGTACCCGTACTTGGGCTTGACTACAGCAACGTGGAGGCTATCAGGGACGTCCTACAATCCAATGATGTTGGCACGGTCATCTCGACTCTGGACACTATGGCTGGAGCGGAGCCAGAGATAGCATTGATCAGAGCCGCGGATCTGTCCACCAGCACGAAGCGATACATCCCAAGTTTCTGGGGAATCCGATATACGCCTGAGTAAGTCTTTCTTCTGAATGATTGACGAGCAGACTGCTCATTGTAGTACAGAGTGAAAGCGATTTTTCCGGTAGCCGAAACTAAGCTCGCTGCGATGACAGCTCTCGAGGCTTCGTCTCTCGAGTACACCTGTGTGATCAACGGCTTTTTTCTTGACTACTACGTTATACCCAAGGTTCAGTCACACATGGGACCATTTCCTGTCGTCCTTGATATGGCCAACAACGCTGCAGCAATTCCCGGATCTGGCGACGTGCCTGTCGCTTTCACGCACACTACGGATGTTGCGCGTTTTGCTGCTAGTCTGCTTGACCTCCCCACCTGGCAACCCGAATCCTATATCGTTGGCGAGAAGCTGACATGGAAAGAATTCGTGGCTATAGCTGAAGAAGTCAAAGGCGTCAAGTTCGATGTGCAGTTTGATCCGTTGGAGAACTTGCAAAAGTACCAAGTAACCGAGTTACCTGGACATAAGGACCTTTATCCTTTCTTTCCAAAACAGATGCTACAGCCCTTCATAGCCACGTTTGGCATACTATTCGCCAAGGGGTTCTTTGATTTCGATGCGATTCCTGGACAGGGGGGTATGAAGGCACGAGGCGTGAAGGAACTCGTAGAGCAGGCTTGGCGATAAGAATGGACTCACTTGTATTGAGCAATCAAGGAATTGCAGAGAATGGACGAACTTTGACTTGTAGAAATGTAGGCAGAATGCACTGGCTGGGCTTGCAATGTTGGTTGTTTGTGGGGCGGCGTGCGCACCAAACAAAGTGTTGTTACCCCTCCTTCCTGATTGGGAAGGTTTGAGGATCTGTCGATTGCCCTGGCATTCTGGTGAAGAGACTTCTTCGTTTAAATTCTTCGCGAGAGCTCTAGCGATAATGCTACAGTGTGCTTACAGCGTTTCTCAATCAAGAAACTTCGAGTTTGAAGCCCTGATCTCAGTGTTTCTCCTAATGGTAATACTGCGTACATATACTAGCTCACCTTCAGTCGTCCACCATTGTTTCACGTAGCAGGCCCTCCAGTTCCTTTTCACATCAATCTTCTAGGGCTCACACCGATTGCAATACTCCCTATCCGAGCAATCATCCTTGACGGAGTAAATTGAGGAATGCATACTCGGACAGGCAACAATCCTCACCTATCGATCACGGCAGAATCTGGTGGAACGCTTCCTTTTAGCAGCTTCACCTCAGCAATAGTCAACTACTGCAAGGGGCTTTGCTTTTCACGTACAAGGTGCTACAACCCACGGACTCCTGCTATTGCCTAATCGAGTAATCTGTCGTCCCAAGCAATATCAGGTAAAGCTGCTTGAGATGGCGTAGAATCATGTTGATCAATATTCCAACGCTTCAAGGATATTCGATGTCTCTCTGCGCGCCGTCCCGGGTCGTTAGGGTCTGTCACGGATTGTGCTCGAATAATGATTTTGATCTACACTGCCATACTTGAGTAATAAATGACGTTGTTCGAGTATTGTTGTAAGGTCGTGCCGTTCGGTTACTAATCTTCAGCGTACTGAAGCCAACAATCTTTCGTCACATCCATAACGCTAGGCTTCGGACGAATGTAGGTTTACTCCGACCCTCCGCACTAGGAGTTGGGTTTTAACGACAAGTTACATCACAGTAAGTGTTAAAGACGCTTTTTCGTAGGATACGAGTTATGACATATTGCATAGAGAGCGACCCACCACCTTTGGTACCAACGGAATCGGGTTATGTGGAAGCCGAGCAAGCTTCCTCCACCACAAGTTCTAAGAACGTATCGCTTAGAATCTGTCCTGCGAGGACACGTCGTCTGCCTAAATCATGAATCGTCAATATGGATAACATGTGGAGAGTATCCCGCTCGACAAGTCGTTGGGTTGGTGTCACCACAAGCATTGGGAAAGTTGCCGCCTTATCCGGTGTCTGGAACTGACTTCGCACAGGGACACTCATCCTGCGCACATCGCCGGATAACATCTGGGGAGAAAGATGGAGACAATGCGATACAGCGGGTCCGGACTTGGGAGTCGAGATCCCTCTTGATGGTGTTGTGCATCGATCCCGACCCCCACGACGATTCCAAGGAAGGCCTTGGTTATGCAGGGGCGGCATTAGGATCGGCACGCTCAAGCTTTTGTCGCACGCCACGGGCGTTTTGCGAAACAGCCTTCCGCGATAACGGCAATGACCCTGAAATTAAGGATAAGCACCTTGGGATCCCTTGACACGTGAAAGATAAAGAAATAACGGTCGAGTAATCCCCAAGTCGATGCGACCGACTGAGCGACCGAGCAGCAGCTATTGATTAACTTTTTGCTTGTGTATCGCGCGATCTCCGAGGACTGCACATGCTCAAAATAGACACAGTCTGCAGAATTTTGAGGGACCGAGAAGAGAAGTGTCCGGGACCTGCATTGCAATGCTGGGTGACGTCGGTGGCTGTCGCTTGAGAAACTGTTGGCAGAACCCTAACGGTGTATGCGACACGACTGTCATCGGCATCGCGACCAAGATAGGTACCCGGCACCATTGTTGAACGCCAATAACGGGCTTATTGCGGTATGCGCGATGGCTATGGTTGGTTGCGGACGCGTATCCTTACAGCTTTTTGTACCAAAATCGATCCCAACAGAGATTCTAGACAAAGCGACCAGGCCCACCCGGTGTGTTTGCCATGGCCACAACTCGTCCACCGTCGCGTCCACGACCCATTTTTCCTTTCGCGCCAGTCAGTGACGAAGGGTTGGCAGGCGAAAATGAGGAATCGCAGATCGGGAGCCCCAAAAATAATCCCTGGCCCAGCGCTGCTCCTTTAACCCCGGGCATGCTCCACCTCATGCTTTGCTAACATCGCTGCTGTTCATTCCACTGTGTTATCTTTCTTCTTTCTCCATCGCACCTTACTATCAATTAATCACTGCAGAACAAGCCGCTTTTCTCCGTCACTCGCTAAAACACCATCTGGAAAATTCGGCACAGAGCTTGACGTCATCCCGTTGCAGCAGTTCGCGTTTGACCCTGGACCGCCGGAAGGTCGAGCGCATGCCATTGACTTCTAGTCTGGCGTCGAAAAGCACACCATCGTTTCATTGATAAGATTTTGCTTCCACAGAAAAATCGCCGCGAAAGCAAACACAGTCGCTTCCTTATCGCTCCCCCAGAGTGCTTTTCGGTCGGACACTTTGTCGAACTTGGGCCTGAGCGCGCCTCTACACCATGACGACACCGAACATCGAGCGGCCGGAGCCGACATACGATATGGACAGTAATCTATACCCTCACCAGCGATCTTCCGACGAGGACGGCACAGTCGTGGGGGACGAACATCACCATCCATTGCGTGTGGACACTGGGGCACGGCCAACACACATGAGATCGCGATCTGGCACCCATCTTACCGTCGAGACCGCACACGACATCCCAGCCATGAAGGGCGTACAATCGCCTTCGCAGACACGTGAGCAGGCGAGCAGGCTCAACGATGACCTTGCCGTGCTGGCTATCGAGCAAGGCCTGGACGAAAAGGAGGCTCTGAGGCGTAATGCGTCAATGAACCCATCTCTTTCACGCGTACGATCCCGTAGGGAGGACCTCGTAGACGACTTCGACGCGGCGACGAACCCATTGCACGAGCAGGCGGCTCGCTATACGCCACCTGAGAACCCGACCACGAGCTTCTCCAAGTTCTTCAAGAAGATTCACAACTCATCGTGGCTTGTGAGGTACTTTACGTACATTACTCCCATGGTTCTCCTGATCCTCATCCCAATATTGGTTGCGATATTTGCCTTTCCTAATGCTAGTGTCGGGGGTGTTGAGCTTCTTTGGTTTTCCATCTGGCTTATGATCATATGGCTGACGCTTTGGGCTGGACGAGTGAGTATCTTTCGCCTTTCGCAGTTATTAGCACTGACATCCATTGCAGGTACTTGCTAAACTCCTTCCATGGCCTATCGGTCTCGTCTCTAGTCTTTTCACCAATAACAGCAAGAAATGGAGAGACATGGGCAAGCAGCTCGAACTTCCAGCTACCTTGTTTTTCTGGTGGTTGGCCATCGAAGTATCTTTCCTACCGACGATGACGAACCATCACGTCAATGGTAACAAGAACACTAAAAGCTGGGAAAAGACTATGAACAAGGTTCTCGTCTCTCTGTTCGTTGGTTTCGTCCTCAACTTTATCGAGAAGATCATCATCCAGCTCATCGCCATCAGCTTCCATCTCCGAACTTACCAAGATAGGATCGAGCTGAACAAGTTCCAGATTGGAAGTTTGGCCAAGTTGTACCGGTTCTCCAAAGAGAAGATCGCCATGGAAGATTCAGAGTTTGAACAAAACGAAGACCACGCTCCATCTGGCGCTCGCACTCCCGGTCAGATCCTCACAGAGGCACAAAAGAACATCAAAGTCGGTTTCAACAAGTTTGGAGACGTTGCTGGAAAGGTTGCTGGGGATTTCACAGGTCGCACGGTGACCGGCAGTGGCCATCCTCACCAGGTCGTCTTGCAACTTATTGGCACAACCAGTGGTGCCCAGGTCCTAGCCCGCCGACTCTACCGAACTTTTGCGCGACCCGAGACAGAGACAGTTCATGCCGAGGATCTCAACAACGCTTTCGACAGCGACGACGAAGCCACCGCTGCATTCTCCATGTTCGACAAGGACATGAACGGCGACATCTCCATGGAAGAACTCGAGGCTGTCTGTGTCGAAATTGGTCGTGAACGCAAGTCCATCACCGCATCCCTGAAGGATCTCGATAGCGTCGTCTCCAAGCTCGACGATGTCTTCATGTTCATTGTGCTCATCATCACAATCATCGTGTTCATCTCGCTCATCTCGACGTCCGCCGCGGGTGTGCTTACATCCGCTGGTTCGACCCTTCTCGCTCTGTCGTGGCTCTTCTCCGCAACCGCTCAGGAGTTCCTCCAGTCTTGCATCTTCGTCTTCGTCAAGCACCCCTACGATGTCGGTGACCGCGTCACAGTCTACGGTAACACGGGAGATCTAGGCCGCGGCGACGACTACTTCGTCAAGGAGATTGCCCTCTTCTACACGGAATTCAAGAAGATGCAAGGTCACATTGTCCAAGCGCCCAACAGCTACCTCAACACGCTCTTCATCCTCAACCATCGTCGATCGGGAGCCCTCGCCGAAGCCGTCCCCATCATCATCAAGTTCGGCACAACGCTTCAGCAAATCGAACAACTCCGCAACGTTCTCCTCGAATTCGTCACCGAGGAGAAGCGCGAATACCAAACCAACATCCTCACCGAACTCCGCGCCGTCCAGGAAGTCCACTGGCTCGAGCTCAACGTTGTCTTCTTCTACAAATCCAACTGGCAAAACGAACTCCTCCGTCTCCAGCGCCGCAACAAATTCATCTGCGCCCTCACCATGGCCATCCAGGAATGCGGCATCGAGGGCCCGCGCATGCGCTACCCAGGCCAAAAGGAGAGCTTCCCCGTTTACCTCCAGAACCTGCAGAACCCGGCTACACCTGGTGTTGGCATCAACGGCACGCCCGACCAGCCCAACGGCAACATCCGCAACGAACCCCAAGACCAACCTTTTGTCGCGCCTGCAGAAGGCGTTGCATCACCTGGCGGTACGACGGCTGGACCCGCAACCGGGCGC